GACACTTTTTTATTGTCACAATGCAATATCTGGGGACACTTTTTTATTGTCACAACACGGGGAGAGGCCAGGAAAGTCCTACAACGCACAGGACAGCCCCCCTGGCAAAGACGCGCCCGGTCCCGAGCTCAGTAGTGCCCAGGCTGAGGAACCCGCTCTCAGAGGTAATGAGCCGCCTGGCTCTCCGTAGGATGACACGGAGGGGTTCTGGGTTCCAGTTCTCCCGTTCCCCCCCTGAATCCTACTGATGCGCTGATAACAGGGACCACAAACGTCGTCCCTTCCTCCCTCCTCCTCACTTTGGTTCCCCCCGTGGCGCCATCTAGCGTCCGGATGTCATGTCTGCAGCCTGGAGCGCTTCCTGGCGGGGCCCTGAGTCGCGGAGGAAAATGACGGTCTCTCCTTTGGTACGCAGACGTGTCCCTTCCAGCTACGATACAGAGGCGGGCACATGGTTGGCTGGTTTCGTTTTAGAAATGGGACGACGAGCTAATTCACGGGGACGTGGGCACAGTGGCCGCCCGCCTGGCTCACCCTTCTCGATCTAGAAAAGTACTGGATCGGCCTTGGCAGACCTCTCTGGTCTGACTCACCCGTGTCGCTGTTGCGAAGATCCCGTCACCTCCGTCCGCCGCCCTGGTGGTGCGTGACTCCGAGAAGGGGCTGTGCATTGGGACATTCCCGCCACCAGTGCCGAGCGGGCACCGTGCGGAAGGAGGCAAGTCCTCCACAAATATCCTATTTCTCCAGCAGAAGGAAAGTAATTAACGGGAACACACAGAGCTGGACACTGAGGATGAGAATAAATTGGGTGGAAATTGACCCAACGTGTAGCGACACGCTACCAGGCTGAGTCGTCCGGGCGGTGAGTGTCCGCTCGAAGGCGCTTCCAGACCCCGCCTGGCGGTGCCGAGGGTCAGCAGGACACGGAGAAGACCTCCCCCTCCTGGGAGGACTGTTTCCTTGGCAACGTCTTCCTCTTTCTCCCGCCCTCTGACGAGACGGTGACAGGCGAGTGGGCCCTGCGAGGGGACAGGACTGGAGGCCTGGTGCTCGGGGTCCAGGCCAGTCGGCTGCCGTGATCTCCGTCCACGCCGCGTGGACCCCCCTTTGCGGACCGCGGCGACCACTGGATGATGGCGGAGTCTCGGAAACGGGTGTTTAGGTTCTTTACCTGCACGAGCATGTGCGTCGTCCGCCTCACATCGAGGTGCCGTCACCCGGAGCCACGGCCGGGGTCTGTGGACGCGTTGTTGTCACCGGCCTGCTGCCAGCCCCTTCCCCACGGCTGCCGGTGAGGCCCCCTCTGCCTCGCCCAGATGGGGCCCGTCCTGCCGTCTGGGTGTCAGGGCGACCGCGTGCCTCAGCCAGACTCTTCTGGGACTTCTGCGGGAGGTGCGAGGAAGGGTTGTGTGTCCACTGGGGGAGGGTCACAGTCACGGCCACCTGGAAGGACGGTGCCCTGAGTGACCCAGCCTGGAAGGGGGTGGCTCAGAGAGAGGGACAGACAGACAGAGACTGTGACAGACAGAGACTGTGAGACAGACAGACAGAGACTGTGAGACAGACAGACAGAGACAGAGACTGTGAGACAGACAGACACTGTGAGACAGACAGACATAGAAACAGACTGTGAGACAGATCAAGAGAGACAGACAGAGGCTGTGAGACAGACAGACAGAGACTGTGAGACAGACAGAGACTGTGAGACAGACAGTCATAGAAACAGAGACTGGACAGACAGAGAGACTAGGAGAGACAGAGAAAGACTGAGAGACAGACAGACCGCAGACAGACAGACGGACGGACAGAGGCTGTCGTCGGGTCCTGGTGACCTGCTGGATGCCGGGTTCATTCAACACGTTTGCTTTCTCACTTTCCGCCCGTTCCCCTCCCATCGGTCTGTGTCGGGCTCGGACACCCACAACCAGAGTAATTTCCGACCTGGGCGGGGTGCCCCAGCCCTGGGGACCCCTCCCGCTTCACATTCTCCCATCATGTACCTTTCCCGGCCCCCGGACCTGAGAGCTGTGGGCACACTGCAGAGGAAGGTGACGATGAGATTTCAGGGTCGGGGGAGAGAATCGGACCCTGGCAACCGTGCGGAGGAGGGGACAGCTGCTTCCTTCCTAGGACCTGCCGTCCCCACGGCCCTCGCTCAGGTGACCATCCAAAGGGCGGGGTTTCCCCCAGGCCCCGCCGTGAGCTTTGTTCCCGGGTTGTGTTCTAAAGAAAGCTCAGAGACTCGGGGAGCCGTCTTGGAAAGCTCTGGGGCTCTAGCAGAGGTGACGGGGACGCGGCCCAGCCTCCGGTGCCGAGCGTCATGTCCTTCACCCTGTACGGGATTGGAGGATGCCAGCGCCCTCCCGGTGGCCGGTCCCTTGTGACGTGAGCAGGTTCCCCGATGCCTGTTTTGACGGAGAAAGGACTCCCCGGATTCCCTGCGTTTCTCTGTGGGTCCCCGTGCCTACGGATGATGGAAACGGATTGTGGGCGGGACATCACGTGCTGAACCGGTAGGAGGGACTGGTCGTAAAGCAGCTCCACCCAGGGGGGCCTTTGGGGTCGGACGCTCGGACCCAGGACCCGTGACAGGTGCTCTTTGCCCCGGGGTCTGTTCCTGACTCCCACCCCCGGGGTCACGCCCAACCGCAGGCACACAGGTCAGCAGGCGCCCCCACCCCCACGTGATGCAAAGTCTTCTCCCCAAAGAACAAATCCACCTGTTGGGTGGTGGTACAGGGAAACCACTGTGAGTACGGGAAGCGACCATATGGCAGCCAAGACTGGGACTCCTTCCGTGCCCGACGGTGAGGACTGTGCCTTTTCCTCAGGTGACAGTTCGACGGAGCTGTGTGGGTGCGGGGGACAGAGCCCCATCACAGCCGACGAGGGCGCCTGCCCTACGTCCAGAAGGGAACTCCGACAACAAACACACGAAGGAAGTGAAATGTGTCCATGGAGGGGCAGGCGGTGGGCTGATCCTGGTCCCAGAGAAGAAATCACACGATAGCAGCTACCGAGGGAACAACTGCGGTCTGTCCGCACGCCAAGGAGGGTCAGGGCGCACACACCACACAGCCCGGGGAGCCCGGACACTCCATGGGGTCGGGGGAGCCCAGGGGAGCCCCGGAAGCCTCGGCCACGCTTTGGGACTACTGAGCTGGGTGGAACCTTCCACGTCGACATCCACCTGCTCCACCATCTGTTCCCCAAACACTGACTCATCGCCCAGCCCCCGGCTCCCCGTCCCGCGCCAGGAACTGCTGTGCATTTGGCCGTGGGATACGCAGCGGTTTCTCTCTGACGTGCCGCGGTGATCACACCGCGTCTGGGACACTCGGCCGCGCGTGTTCACACGCCCGCCCCGTGGGATGGAGTGCCCGCCTCAGTCGGGGAAGCACAGCCCAAGCCAGACAACGCGGTCCCTGTTCTCGGGGCGTATGTTCCGCGGGGAAGGCGGACACAGAGTAAGACATGACTAAGGGATCAGTTAGTGATCAGGAAACTGAAGGAAGGGCTGAGGTGTGTTAGGGAGCAGCGAGTTGGCCCCGGCCGCTGGGGCTCAGTGGACCAGCGTCGTCCCATGGACTGAGAGGTCCGGGTTCGATTCCTGGGAGGGCACATGCCAGGGTTGTGGGCTCGATCCCCAGTGGGGGGCGTGCAGGAGGCGGCCAATCCATGTTCTCTCTCATCGATGTTTCTCTCTCCCTCTCCCTTCCTCTCTTTCTAACATCAATAAAAACATAAAATAGGCCCTGGCCAGTTTGGCTCAGCGGTTGGAGCGGACCAGAGAGTCCTGGGTTCGGTTCCCGCTAGGGGCACGTACCAAAAAAAAACATAAAATAAAAATCAACACAGTCCTCTGTGAATTGGGAGAAAACGAGCAATCCTCATTAAAATTCCACAGGCAGAGACTCGGGGTGACATTTCTGGTGGAAACCTTCTCACGTGGGATTTGGGGTGGAGGGCTCCTCTGCTCCAGTCTCCTCCTCTCATTCTCCCTCAGAAGGGGTGCACGCAGTCCCCATGGGGACGACGTCGGTGCTCACGTCTGTGGGCTTCGACGGCCGGAGCTGCTCCCCCTTGTCCCGAGCCCCCTGTGACGGTGGGGGGGCGCTTCCCTGAGGACAGGGCTGTCGGTCCGTCCCTCCTTTCTGTTTGTCCACGCGAGCCGTGGCCAGATCGGGAAGGCGCCCCCAGGATAACTTGGGGGAATTGCTCCAGGGACCCATCGCCATTGTCTCTTCCTTGCTGCTGCTTTCAAAGTTAACCTTATTGGGGTGACCTTGGTGAACGCGATGGTCTGGGGCGCATCGTCTGTGGACCGCCACGTATGACGTACGTGTGTGCCCCACACCGCCCCATCTCCTTGTGCGTGTTGATATGTTCCATCAGCATGATAGCTCTAGAGTCGTGTCGCGATCATCAAATCCCTGCAGAGAGGACGGAGAGGAAGGAAATGAGGCACAGACAGGAGTGGGGAGACCCGTGTGTTCCCGAATCCAGGGTTTCTGCACCAGGCACTGTGGACCCTTCTGATGGGCCTGCGTGGCGGGGGCTGCTCTGTGCATTGTGGGACGTGGGGCGGCCTCCCTGGCCTCTGCCGCTCGATGGCAGCACCCCCACCCCAGCCGAGACACACAGAAATGTCCTCAGACATCACCCGATGTCCACTGCAGGGCACAGCTGCCCCCGATTGAGACCGTCCAGCCCAGGCAGGCTGTCCTTTCTCCGGCTGCCCAGCTGGGCCCCTTCCTGGATGGAGGGCCATCCAGGGGCCCCTCACCCTCAGAGCTGAACAGCAGGGTCACAATCCTGCAGTCTGGGGGCAGATCCTACCCCAGCTTTGCCTCCCTCGGTGCCCAGTGTCTGTGTCACTGATACAATAGAAAGTAAAGAAACTAGAAAGAGACAAGTGGTGAAGCGTGGTGGAGCGTGGGCCCCTTGGGAATGCCAGGCACTAATCCCGGGTGCTCTTGCCCGTCTTCCTCCCGCAGAGCCAAGGTGAAGAAGGGGGTGAACGTCCTGGGCGCCCGGACCAGTGAGCCTCGGCAGTGGGACATCAAGCAGGAGCTGGGCAACGGCGGGAAGCACATGGCCAGCACCCTGGTGTGCCAGCGCCTGGGGCCCAGCACACACAACAGGTAAGCGCCCCTCCGCAGGCGCCCCGCGGGTCCGCCTGGCCTAGTGTCCGCCGCAGGGACTTGATGGACACTCACTCGCCGCTGCCGAGCACTGCTCCTAACCCCCGGCCGCCATCCAGGGCGACACCACCTGGCATCTCAGCCGGAGGGCAGGGCACGGCGCCGACCGTCTGCGGAGCGGAGCCGAGTTAGTGAGGTCCTACTGTGCGTCAGCAAGGCTCAGGCATGCCCTTCGCCCCTACGTGTGTCCTGGGGCCCGTGTCATCTCCGCGGGTGACCAGAGGCGGCTTGTTTGCCCAGTGCACAGGGTCGGATGCGGTCACCAGTGGGGAGGGAGTTGGAGACAGGAAGGGATGGTCGGTGGCAGTGATGGACACGGACGTGGAGAGTCTACGCAGACCTCTGGGCGGTTGTTTCAAGGACTGCTTTCTGGCCTGGCCAGTGTGGCTCACCGGTCAGAGCGTCGGCTCATGGACCAGAGTCTCGGGTTGGACTCCTGGTCAAGGGCACGTACCTTGGTTGCTGGTTTGATCCTTGGCCCCAGTCAGGGTCAGTGGGAGGCAGTCCATCCAAGTCTCTCTCTCTCTCTCTCCTATTCTATCTAAAAAAAAATAAGAAATCAATAGAAAAATATCCTTGGATGCGGATAAAAATATATACATATATTAAAATGACAGCTTTCTGTGTATAAAAGCAGCACAGACCCTTCTTAGGTCTCAGGAAAACAGTTACACGAAGCCCAAATGTCAAATGGTATCTAAATACCCCTCCCCTGGGGTCTGTGCTGGCCCGTGGTTTGCCCGTATTTTCTACATGCGTGACGTCTGTATAAAGTGAGTGTGTGTGTATTTACCTGTTTTACAAATTTGGAGGCATAATCTGCTTACAGAGTTTTAAATTTTTTTTTTAACTTATATTTGGCTTATTTTGAAAACCTCTCCTCTTGACATTCACTGTCCCTCAAAGTGCTGACGGCCATGCACTGTCCCATCCCATCGATTCCTGTACCTGTGTCTCTGCACGCTGACGTCGTTTCGCGTCTTGTTCACGTCGGTAACGCCACAGGGACTGACTTCGCACGTAACTGTTTGTCCACGTCTGGTTTTGCTTACGGTGCCCTCTTAGAATCAAAGAGCCGCATCATTTCTCGGGGCTCCCGATGACCCGGTCGGTGTCTCTCCTTGAAGAGTAGCCCCAGAGGGGGATGATCCGTGACGGGACACCTTTTCCTACGCGGACGCCGCTTGGCCGCCAAGGCAAACCCCACACCTTCCCGTTTGGCTGTAAAGCCCCCTCCTCGGTCCTTCCTTGGCCATCCAGCCGGTGGAAGCATTGGTGCCGAGCGGCTCCCTGGCCCCAAACCCACCCTTCACCGTCCATCCCCCGGGGACCACGAGGACGCCTGGGGGCGAGGACTGCTGTCCCAGTGTCTCAGCTGGTGAAAGGGAGCCAGAAGGAGCCGCACACCTGGGCCCCTTATCATGAGCGAGAGATCAAAGCCAACTTGAACCTCCCGTGTCAAAGGCACGTGAAGTCTGCTTGACCCACCTCGTGGATCATGCAGAGAAATGTGACCGTGTCCATGAACAGACGGGGACATGCGCGTACACAGTCCCTCGCGTCACCACCGGAGGTGTCTCCCAGGGAGGGGCGGGCTTGCGGTGGAGCTCCCGACAGTCCCATGACAACGTGCTTTTCTCGGAGTTTTGCGGAAGCTGGTCTGGGCCCGGCTGTGACCTGGGGGTGTGCGCACACCCCGGGCTCCTCGCTGTCAGTCATGCTGGGCGTTTCGGGGCGTTTCGGCAGACGGAGCTCAGTACTGGTCTTTTCTCAGCTCCTCGTCAGTGACCGTGGGGAGCTTGACGTCGACCGCAGAGTGGGCGTTTGCAGCTCAGGCATTGGTGACCGCCCCAGGGCAGGACTCTTGTGACTGTTGGAAGGCCCGCTCACTCAGCACAGCGTGGATGGATGTCCCGGCTCGCTCAGTCCCTGACTGGGATCTGCAGGGAACACCGACTGGTTTTCTCAGGCGTGAGGTGCTATGCTCTGTGCTAGGTGGAAAGGTGGCCACTGAGTTGGATCCAGACTCTGTCTGCACAAACCCCAACCCCGTGGGGCTCCTGGCCCATTCCCAGACCTGGACAGTGCAATTCCGCCGGGACGAGTGGGCTCCCTCCCTCCCTTCCGCCCACAGGGCAAAGGCCACGTGTCTTTGTTACCGACTGATGTCTAACACATGACCCCTAAACTCAGAAGCTTATCATAACACACACATCATCTCCTGCTTTCTCTGTGTCGGGGATCCAGGCACATCTTCACGGGGTCCTCTGCTCGAGGGTCCGTCACAGGCTGCAGTCAAGGTGTCGGCCAGCGTCGGTAGCCTCATAGGAAGGCCCCGCTGGGGACGAGGAGTGCCCAAGTGTGCGTGCTCACTGGTGGGATCCGGTCGCCCGGGGACCGCTGGCTGGCCCGAGGGCCTCTGCGGCTCGGTTCTCGCCAGGTGTCCCCTGCACCAGAGCAAACAGGCGAGGAGACCCCAGGAGAAAGCAAATGCCCGCCGATGGAAGTCAGAGCATCTGAGGACCTGACCTTGCACGTGACCTTCAAATACTCGCTGTGTTCTATTCGTCAGAAGCAAGGCTGGCGACGCTCAAGGGGAGGAGGTTACAGAGAGGGGTGAATACCCCGAGGTGGGGATGGTTGGGAGCTATGGTGGGCCACCCTTCAATGCCTCCCCCCCGCCGAGAGAGCCCATCGCCGTACGGAGCCCTGTCTGCCGTGAACTCGGGGACGCGCATCACAGGACGGTCGTCCGGCCGTGTCCTCAGCTGTTTGCTGCCTCCCGCCATCAAATCCACTTGCCGTTTTCATCCAACTCAAGCAGGTTGATGACAGGGAAGCCCTGGGTCCCTCCCCGTACTAGACAGTGTTCTGAGCCGCACTCGAGAGCGGCTGTGTGCTCAGAGGGGGAGTTTATCCGAAGGATGCTGCCGGGAAGCCGTAGAAAATGAAAAATGGACACGGCAGAGGAATGTCAGCCAGGGCCGGGAACGCGCCCAAAGGCAGATCTCAGCGTGTGCCGCTGGGACGCTCCTCACGCAAGAGTTCCCTTAAACCAGCTCTAAATTGTTCTTCCTTTTTTTTATTCACCCTCGTTTTTAGTAATAATATTCTTGAAATTATGCACTGAAGGTACTTTTATTATTTTCTAATGTGCATTACAATGAGAGCAAAGCTGTAAGAGCTATTTTAAATAATTGTGCTTGGTGAACCGAGCAGGGACATGATTCATGCACCGTCTTGTCACCGCAGGAAATACGGCCAGGGGGCCACCCCGTGCGGGGGCACCGCTCCGCCCAGGCCCCCTCGGATCCCTGGACAGCCTCCGTGCCCATCTGGGCGTATGAGTCAGCCCAAGCTGCCCTCACAAACCACCATGGGGTTTAGACAACAGATGCCCATTCTCTCCCAGCTAGAGCTTGGGTGCTGGCAGGGCGGTTTCTGGGGAGACCCCCATCCCAGCCTCCATGCTCTGCCCTCACAGAGTTCTCCCCTGTGTCCTCCGAGAGACCACACATGCTGGTCTCTTCTTATAAGGACACCAGTCCCATCAGATTGAGCCCCACTGTTCGGCCCTCACTGAACCTAAATGATCTCCTGAAGTCCTGTCTGCAGATGTAGCCACACTGGGGGTGAGGGCTTTAACAAGGGATTTGGGGGGCGGGGGGACGGTTGGTCCATAGCGGGGGGCAGTGAGCTAGCACCCCGCACTGCGTCCTTCAGAGCTACTCCGGCTCCTGCGTCTGTCTGGCTCGCCCTGCAGGATCCCTGGGGAAGCCTGGGAGTTTGATCTTCCCCGGTGGTCCTGTAGCTGCTGATGGGTGTGGGGCCCCCTCTCCCCCGGAGCAGAGGACCCTCAATGACCGCAGTGCACACCCGGGGGCTCAGGCCGGGGCTCTCCTGAACCCAGGCCTTTCCCTGGCAGGGCTGCCTGCTGTCTGCCTCCCCGTCCCGTTTCTCCTGGAAAAACTTCCTTTACCCACCCCCGCAAATGAGTCCTCACCTCGGAGTCTGCTTCTAGCAAACGCCCCAGAGAGTCTCAGGAACAGGGGCCCCCGCTTCCTTCCCTGGAGGACTGGCCTTTGATGTGTCGAGTTCGGAGGAGTTCGGAAGACGGGGAGACCTTGGTAGGAGACTGGCAAACGACAGCGGCCCCCAGGGCACGCTTTCTCCCGGGGGCACAGCGCCTGGAAGCCCACGGCTCCTGGAACCCTCAGGCCCAGGAGGAGAGCTTGGGGTCCTACGCCCGCATCACGAGGCCTTTCCTGTCTGCTCCCCAGGGTGAATATCGCTGCCTGAGCACAGCCGGCACTCAGCATCGCCCACAGCCTGCCGGGCTGTCTCATACTTGCAGGGCGCACGGCCAAGAGCAATGAGCACAGACCCTCCCCTCGGGGTCTGGACTCTCCGTGACTCTCCCAGGACGCCTCTGTGAGCCCAGGAGGGACAGCGCAGACCGGCATGTGCTCCAGGGACGCCTGTGCCACCGTCCTTACCAAGCGCTTTCTCCTCCCTGTGTCTCCCTGCTCCGGCAGCTCTCCCTTCAGGCCCCCAGGGTGACGCCGGCCCGGAGGCAGGGCCCCTCTCCGTCCCTGATGCTCACTCTCCAAAGTTCATTCCTTCGGGGGAAACGCCAAGTCAGCCTGGCCGAGAACCCCCTGACCACAGAGACGGAAGTGCCGGCGAGGGCTCCCGGAGTCGGTCTGGGTCATGGCCCTCGTAGAGCGCCAGGTCTTGTCTTTTCCACGGAGCGAGGCTTCCTCGGGTTCTTCCTGACGTGTGTGCGGGGACCCAGACTCCCCTGCACTGCACCTGTCACAGGGGCAGAGTGTCCTGTCCAGCTGCACACCCCCCAACATCTATGGATGCTCGACTGGGCTCACCCTCCTCGGGCTGCTGTGGATCCTCCTACTCACGCATGGTGGGTGTGGCCAGAGCTG